GCTAAGACGCGGGAATTGCTTGCTGTCGCTGAAACTAACAAGGCACATCTCGATGACAAGGTTGAGCAGCTTACACGACAGCTTAGGGGCAATGAGGAGAAGCTCGCAGTGTATGAACGGCGTCCAACTGGTGCTCAAGGTGCAGTGCAACGAATGGACGAAGATCTCACGCACGAGCAGCAGCTTGAGGCTGAGGTTGCTGAGTTGCGGTAAGTCTGTTCACGCAAAGTAATGAATGATTACTAATGCCATCATCAGTTCTGCGCTGAAGGTAGCGGAAGTCGATCTTGTTGCGGCTAGAAGTCACGTCCAGCAGTTCCAGGAAATCAGCCAGGCCAACGAAGCAGCCCTTGCTGCCTTAAATGCCACATATGACCAGTATGTCGCGTCCAGTGAAGCTCAGATTGCGAAGCATGAGGTAAAGCCAGCCGAGTATAGAAAGAAAATGATGTTGACATGATACTTCTAGAGCGAGTACAACGCTCTTCGCGTACAGTTGGAGTCTACGCAACAGGAGTTTGCTCAACTTAATCAGAAACACTCTGAACTTAAGGAAACTTTGGCAAAAGAACGAGCTGCATGGCTTCAGGATAAAAAGACCCTCGAGGAGACCATTGTCGATATTACTACTTCTGAAAGGAGCTCTGAAAGCGAGCGCGCATCCCGTGAAAACGAGATTAAGGAGCTCGAAGAGAGGGCAAAGGCTGCTGAAGAGCGGTATAACCGGGAACTCCTTTCCCATGCTGACGCGATCAAGACGATTGACGGCCTTCGAGCTCAGATCTCGTCCGCACAGGCTAATGCTAGAGGCAATCTTGCCGCAGCAGAGACGGCTCGTGGGAAGCTTGCCGCCTCGGAATCTAGCTGGAAGCAGCAGAAGGAGACGCTTGACAAGGAGATATCGGATCTCATTTCAAGATGCAAGGACCTCACGTCTCAGAACTCTATCCTTCACCAACATCTTGAATCCGTTAGCTCTCAAGCAGCACGTATTCGCACTGCTGCAGAGACTTCTACTACTGTCCCAGGCGAGACCGAGAACATTGAGGATGCCGACACTAAGCTTTCAGAGCTGCGCTCTGTGGTTGCCTACCTGCGGAAAGAGAAAGATATCGTTGACCTTCAACTCGAGCTCAGCAAGCAAGAGAACGTTCGCTTCAAGACCCAGATCGAACACCTCAATCACAGTTTGGAGGAGGCTAGGAAAACCCTTTCTGAGGTTAGCTATTGATTTATACAAGACTTCAATTTTTTGCTCATCATTTTGAAGGAGCGAGAACGTGCAATGGAGGCAGCTGCATCTGAAGCGCAACACGCCGAGCTTATGGAGCGTATTAACCAGCTCACCCTTCTCCGAGAAAGCAATGCAAGTCTTCGTGCGGACTGTGAGGTTCAGACCAAACGCGCTCGGGCCCTCGATACTCAGCTCCAGCAGCTCCAGAGCGAGCTGGAGCCTACACGTGAACAGTTGAGAATTACACGAGCAGAATTGGACGCCCGCATCGGACAAGTCGCTAAGCTCGAGCAGGAATGCCGCGGATGGCAAGAACGCAACAAACAGCTCCTGACTAAGGTCAGTCCTATGTGCCAGTGGATGGTTGTGAATTTCGCCTAACAGCTATGTCCTTCAGTACGATCGTATTGACCCCGCGGAGGTTCAGGCCCTCAAGGACCAAATTGAGCAACTCATAACAGCCAAGGCTGAGCTGGAGTCTCAGAAAGCTGATGTCCAGTCAGCTGATGCTGAAAAGGCGAGTCGCATGTGCTAGCACTTTTTGAGTGATGAATTAACAATTTGCAGATCAACAAACTCGAGGAAAATCTGCAGAGGCTGAAGGATCTAAACAAGAGGAACAACGACATTGCGAAATCGAGATTTGGGGCGCATGCACTTGAACGCGAGAAGCTCAATGGAACCATTACTCAACTCGAAGCTCAAATTCTCGCTCTCACTACTGAGCGCGATGAGTTGAAGGCAAAGACTCAAGACACTGTCGCTCCAGGTGCCTCTGCGAAGGAAGAAGAGCTTAATCGCGAACTCGAGGCCCTTCGTACGGAGAAGGTCGAGCTTGAGAAACGCTTGCAAGACACTGCTGGCACTGTTCCGTCTGAAACACAAAGGGCAGAGGTTGAGCAGTTAAAGGTTGAACTAGTAAGTAGACCTTCCTTATGCAGTGATGTATCTATTGATGAACATCGTGAAGGCCCGGGTTCAGCAAGAGAAGGATGCGCTAGCTGCAGAGAAGACTACATGGGCTACGTCTACCTCTCCTGAGAATGCTCAGCATGCGTGGGAGACTGAGAAGGCTGACCTAGTCAAGGCACGAGACGATGCAACTAGCAGCGCAAAGGTTGTTCATATTCTGGCATTACTTTATGCATATGGTACTCATGTTTCATGTAGAACGCGACAGAACGTGCGGAGAGGATTGCAGCGCAAGCGAAGACGTTCCGTGAACATATCGTGAGTTTTATTACCATGCTTTTGGATTTGTAAAATTAATACATTTGTGTTAGACCAAACTCCAAGAGCAGCTCAAGGCAGCGCAACAGGCCCATTCTGTGGAGATTGAGCGCGTCAAGACGGAGCATGAAGCTGCAAGCACAAAATTGCAAGAGGAGCTTCAGGCTTCTGCTCCCTCTGAGGATGGTGGGAAGCACGCCGAAGAGCTCAAAGCCCTCGAAGAGCGTCTTCAGAAACAGCATCAAGAGGAGCTTAAGCAGGCAGTCGAAGCCGCAAAGGCTACCGTCATTGCTTCTTCCGGTGCCAACGCTGAGGGAGGAGCAGTAGACCAGAAGGCTATCGACGAGGCCATAGCTGCCAAAGAAGCCGAGCTCAAGGTCAAACATGCGGAAGAAGTTGCGGCAGCCGTGGAAAGCGGACGTATGGAAGCGAGCACGAAGTCGAGGATCAGGGACGGACAGCTTGTGCGGGCTCAGGCCAAAGTCAAAGAACTTGAGGGACAGTTACAAGAAGCCCGCAAGGCTGGATTTTTACCCGCTCAGCCAGCTGCTGGGCCATCTGCCGCCAAACCCCCCACACCAACTACGACAACTATACCTGGAAGGCCTAGTCTCTCTAGACCTGTTCCCCCCGCTACGACTGCTGCTGCCGCTCCCGCCGCGAGGCTGCCACCCGCCGGTACCCGACCATTAGGTACGGCTGCGCTACCTCCCAGACCTGGTCAACCCCACCCCACTCATCCCTTACCTACCGGCCGAGGAAGAGGTGTTCCCATCAGAGGCCGCGGCGGTATCTCAATACGTGGCGCAGCACCTGCCTCAGCGGCTGCCTCACCAGTTACGTCCACCAGTACGGAAGCGGCACCCGTAGCGGGCATCTCCATCGCTGGAGCCGCTGCGAAGCGGACAAGAGAGGAAGGGGACGGCGCTGACGGCGACAGTACGTTGGCTAAAAGACTGAAGCCCGAGGGTGCAGGGAAACCTGGTCCTGTGAGACTCAATCGGGATCGTGTCACTCCGTCGTCGTAGTATCGTCGTGTTTTGTTTTGCTTGAGTATTCTGTGCATGTGTATCATATATCCATCTATCGTACGCTCTCAACTGTTGTGGATGATGTCGATACTCTCGGTATTGCATTAGGACAGTCACGTTCCAAACTTAGGGCCCTGTTATGGCCTTTAGAAAAGCTTGGCTTCCAAAAAGTTATAGTATCATAAGGTTAATGATCGCTCATCTTATGGTTTAGCGTACCCCGACCACCATGAAAATTGTGCATGGTCTGGGAACGTCTAGTGCCAGTCAAGTTTGTTTACGGACCCAAAATCAACATCTCGCACATGCAGTCCAAGCAACGTGAGTCGATTGCAAAAATGCAGAGTTCGTACTGTCCATGTGTTCTAAATTCGAGCATGACCAATGGTTTACTCTGACTTGGCCTCCACTGAGGATGTAGCAGCCTCTGGCGCCTCAGTCTTTTCGGGGTCGGCCTCCTCAGCTGGGGACTCGGAAGGCTCGGCGGGTGTGGGTGCTTCGGTTGTTTCGGAGGCTTCAGCAACAATTGCCTCTTTTGGCGAATCCTCCTCCTAGCATAGGATAACTATGTTGAGGTACGATCCATATGATTCATGTAATGAGTGTACCCACAATACTTTTGTTAATAGACTCTGTCACTTCCTCGCTAGAAGCTGGGGTGCCCTCGTCGTCGGTAACTACTGAAGCGGCCTTAGGCACAGGTTCAACCTGCATTGGTTTAATTAGATGCACGGTTAACGAGACATATACTGGCACGCGACTTACTGGAGTGTGAATCTGAGGGGGAGGAGTTGTGGGAACAGGAGCATCCTCGGGATGAGAGACCCTTTTCTTGGGGAGGGAAGCCTGATATGCCTTGTGTGCCTTTTTGTTCGCCGATGGAGAGAGAAGGTACAAGGCCTAGTGGGACATATTAAGCCGAAAATTGGTTCAGTGGAACGAAGCATTACATACCGCAGGTCCAAAAACGAGAGCAGAACCAATCTAAACAGGCACAAGTCGTGTTAGTTAAATGTAGATGACGGTCATGTTAGCTGCAAAACTCACGATCCATGCTTGGTCACTACCCTGCGAACCATGAGAGCCACTGCTCATTGCCCGACGAGGGGCATTACGGCCGCCAATGCGTGCAGCGGGGGTGGCCATACGGGCGAACGCCGTGCGGGACAACCTGAAGGCCATGGTAGTTAAATACAACGAACAGAGGTTGGAGGACGAGCGAAGGACTTTCGACTTGGAGTCGGAGAGGGTGAGCGGTGGCAGGAACAGCGGTAGGAGCGCTGAGACTCGCGGAATGAACCGGTGTAAATGACGTAGAATAATCACTGAATATTGCGAGTGTGGGCCGGCCCGTCTCAGCGCTTGCGCGCCTCATTCATGCAGGCGAAATCAAAATTATCAAATGCTCTACTTTTGAACGACAAACGGCGCAAATATCGCCTTTTCTTGGTTTTTTGGAGGATGTGGGGGCAAAATAACCGTCGAAGATGCAAAAATAAATAAATAGCCCACCGCGGGGGTCGAACCCGCAGCCTTCAGATCACGTGACATGACGTCATCGACACTCCACATGACGTCGCTACCGCCTGCAATCGTAAAAGTCTGACGCTCTATCCGATTGAGCTAGGCGGGCTTGTATTAAATTAAGTTAAAAGTTTATATATGCTACACTCCTTAGATTCAGGAGCAGCCTGAGTTTCAAAGTTGAACGTTGAACCCCAGTGAAAAACGCGTCTAGTGAGATAAATCAGAGTATATCGGAAAGTATGGGAAGCCGTCTCACTGTAGTGAGATATATTCGGAGCTATAAATCGTCGTATCGAAGCGCTCATGCGCAATATTTCTGTCATGTTTTCTGCAGTCGATTAACTCTTGCACACTATGACGTCTATGTACCAAACTCTCTAACGTTCTCTTCAAAGATCTTTTCCCCAAAGTTTTGCTTCACGCGTATACTCCCCAGAGTTTTGTGGCCAACCTAAGTCACATGTTCAAACTGTCGTAACTGGACGCAGAGTTCGTGACCTTCGCGCTTTCCTTCCTCTCACCACCACCTCCCATGCATCCGACGCCGCGACTCTCGGTAACATCGACGCCTGACTCTCGTGCATATATATACCTTGGGTAGGTGTCTGCTGTGACTAATTTGTTAGAGAGTCAGAGTGACGAGCGTGTTGGCGTAACTCCACGCCGCTATCGTAGGTGAGTACGGTACCTCTTCACACTATAGTCATCCCGAAATCCGTATCTTTCTCACTTTAAGAAATAACTCATTTTATGTTCTAGGCCTATGTATGCTGAATTTGGTGGTTGGGCGTGACTTCTATGCCCTGTTGAGCCCGGATTCTACCGCATATATGCGGTGTCCGATGTTATCAACGGTACGCATATAATTTATTTTCTCTATTATAATGGTCTTCTCATGCGTACACCTGATCCCGAAAACTCGAACCATCGTGCTGGACGGGAATTGTCAACTAGTCCGTTCCGCCGCATAATAGTCACGCGAGGTATGTTCGTTGTTTCCTCGATAAGGTTTGAATAGCTTTCGCAAGTCGTATTCCAAGTGCTGACTGTTATATACAGTTTATCGCAGTTCGTTGAAGCACAAAATATGATTGTCGCAGGCATGGCATCCAGGACACGGCGTACATCGCGCTTAGTATATGTAGGTTTTATATTGTAATCATCGTAACCGTTGTACTTACTATTCTATCCTTATACAGTGACTTGCACGGGCAGTTCGAACACGGGCGTTGATCCAATACTCCATACTCGGGTGTACGACGTGGTGACACTGGTGAGTAACGACGAACGATAGGGAACAGCGAGATCCGGACGCTACTACCCCAGCGTGGGTAAAGCAGAATGGTGGCGGGTAGACTACAGTAGCAAACAATAGATACCAGTATATAGAAAAATAGAAAAATTTCGGTCGCTACACAAGAATAGCTGTGGATATATCCCATACGAAATCAGTACATATGAGTAGATATCAATAGGCACCGGTTTCTCCCCGTGCTTATTGGTGCTGTAAATGTATCGAGAACTACTGAGAGATGAGAGAAGTTTCTTATTGGCTTCTCGCGTACACCTGGATATACCGCACTCGACGTCGCTATAAATTTTGTCCCATTTTTCTATTGAGATACATTTCGATATATTCGGATGTATATAGCGCTAGAGAGTATATGGGAATATACATGAATTGCTCCGACTAGACGCGTTTTTCACTGGGGTTGAACGTTGAAGCTTGAAGTGCGCTGACCCAGGCATGAGGCTCATAGTATAGGTAAACATGGTTCTGCCCGTTGCAGGGCTACTGAGGTTACATACTCGGGAACAAGTTGTGAATTTTTTTTTTCGCTTTAGAAATACTATCTTTAATATCGTCGATGTAGAGTGAACCTCACACCAAGTAAGCAACTGACATGAAGCAGTAACCAATTTCAACTGCCTCGATAGATACTTGTAAGTCCCAAACTATCGTACAAATACAAACAGACACCTAATAAAGGTCCATGATATCCTCCCCACTCGAGTCAAACATAAACTCAAGAAATTGTCAATGGGATACATGCACATACTTTGTGAGATAATGGTCTGAACATTGAATATCAAGATACAGAGGAGAGGGGAATCTCCTCTTCGTGGAAGCACCTTCCTACCTGCGGCCGGTCCTCCTAAAGTCTTTCGTCATATTGGCAGATATATCAACCAATAATCGATGAAACTGTGCGATTTGACAGCGAGACTTTTACCATTGCCTTGCGGCTCGACCAGCGGCCCAGACGAGGCCTCCACCTCCGACTGGTAGTAAAAGAACCCAGACACCAATGTCCCACAGGACTCGCCTGGTAAACCGACGGCGCTGTAGCGTTCGCTCTTTCCGTTGGAGAAGCTCGTCCGTATGTGAGTCACTTTGGTGGAAACTTGGAGATGAACCTGGGCGAGGAGTCGTAGGAGGCATGACAATAGAGAGAGGGCGACGGAAGTTATGAATAACAATATGCAACAGGGCTAAGCGATCACGGTATAAGTAGCTTAAATGTGTATAGCGAAAAGCGAAAACTTGCCAGGAATAGTGAAGGTCCCTAGGAATGCCAGCACCATCAAGATGTCGCTAGCCAACCTGACCAGTGCAGCCGGCAACAGCGCAATACCCAATGACACTGCAAACAGAATCACCCGGGAGACAAGCAGATGGTTCACATATCTTCGCATAGACAGAGGGAGCGAGAAAGTGGGTGCGGTGACCAGGACAGATGGGATTCCGAGTGCAAGGGTGGTTGAACTAAAGAATCCCATGAAGCACTTGAACGCGATCGGCGTGCGAGCCTCAGGTGATGGGTCCTGAGAAATTTCAGTGCGAAACTAGGACGTCAGTGAAGTTTGGTCATTGGAACTCAACAGGAGTGCTAAAGAAACTAACCGGAGCAGCGGCTACAGAGCTGAATACAACGGGTGGGAGGATGAGCGCTATGGCGAGTACAATGGAGCCAAAGGAATACAGCTTGAAGGATCGCGAGCGCCTCGGTTTAGGCCCGCCGAACCCATCGCTGGAGGCGCGGAGCGCAGAGTATAGAGGGAGAGTGGAGGAGGTCGCAAACGTGAAACTAATGATGCCTACCGCACCAGCTAAAATTAGACTAAGTGACTGAGCGGGATCAATGGTATACTTACTGAGACCCTGCCAGAGAATACCGATGGATCCCTCAGCTTCGGAGTCTTTTGAGGGAGTTTGAGAGATGCCACGGGCGTGCGCGTACGCTGTCCCGGCGACCCAAGCAGTGAATGCTGCAACAGACATCCACGATGCCCATACTACAGAGGTTGAGCCAAGTGAGGCTGTTGGAGGTACAGAGAGTGGTAGAACAATAGCAGCTAGTACCAGAGTTACAATAACTCGAAGCGGTACAGGTGCGAGGATACGATGAGGGAATAGGGGTGTTATAGCATCAGTAGAGCCTGAACGTAGTACGTCTTCAGTAAAGATAGAGATAGGAAACCAACAGTGAACGTACTTCGTAAGTACAGTGCAATGAGCAACACGCGAAGAGTACCAGTGCTGAGCAGCACCAGACGTCTAATCCAGCGCCGCTTCCTCTCACCCTCTCTGCCCCTTCCCGCCTTCCTAGCGAACGCCTGGAGAATGATCTCCTCCATGTCGGCTCGTCGTACATATCGTGCGAGCATGTACCATATTTGCCGGGTAAGAGCGCATAGGCTGGCGAAGAAGAGCAGAGTAGGTAGCGCTATCTTGAGCCCCCGTTCGCCCACCGACGGAGACAACAGTGCGCCAAGCTTCAGCAGCGGCGAGAGAAGATATAGGAATACGCTGAGTGAAGATAATGCCGGGACTGAGGAATATGGCCCGCTTGTGGCCCTTTCGGAGAGATTATCCTGCGATTCCCCGTTGGGCAACTCATCTTCGTCACTGCTGTTTATGAAATCGAATGCTGCGGGATCTTCGCCGTCAATGTCGTCATGCTCGTTGTGCTCTGGGACGAGTATGAGAGCACTTGAAGAATCGAATTCGTGGATTCCCGAGTCGAAAGAGTCGAGCGAAGGTCGGGGACTGGAATTCGCGGGTGCTGAAGGCGGTGATGGCGGCATAGTAACGATACAACGGTGAAATGAACGGAGAGGTAGTAGATGAGAAATGAAGGACTAGTACAGGACGATAATCCGCCTGCGGAGGTCAATGGAGGCGAGATAGCTTGAGCTGGTCGCTGTTTAGGAGAAACATTCGAATCGCACTAGTTGGCAGCGCTCGTTGGCTGCGCAAGTCGGGCTAGATTCACACTGCGACTACCCATCGTTTCGACTGTTGAAACATCGGCATTCGAATTGTTGGTATCAAGTATTGGACTATGTACTCTACAGGTACAACTTTCAGTCAAAGCACTCACCCTATGCTACTCACTGAGGCTAAACATATGGCGCTGATCACCCACTGTCTGCGGTGCTCAGTCAAAGGCATAAAGAACGATCTCTGCGGCCTGGACGATAAGAGGGGGTTTAAACTGAATAAATCTCCCGGAGATGTCGTCGACGCTGATTTGCTTCAGCTCGTCGTCGTTCGTAGTCGCTGATCTCCAAGCGTTCCAAGCGTTCCCTAGACGTGCTTGTGGAGGGTTCTCTCTAGCGAGACGCACCATCCCAGGTGTTACTCTGTCGGCATCGTTGCCACGTGCGCGAGTTATGGTGTATGACCACAATCCCTCTCGGTCAACGATCATTCGAGGCGCACGGACGGAAACATAGCGCATGGAGCAGGCGCGTAGCAGCAAAAGCCCGTGACTAAATCCTGAGGTCGTGCTATGGAATAGCGTGGAACTGTCGTGCTCATCCACCAGGAATGCCGTAGGAAACTCTGAGTCGGCAAACGACAAGGAGATGCCACCGCTGGCTTCATGGTCTGTGAGTAGAAGATCCATGGAGCAAAATCCGGATGGGTAGGCCCAAAACGTCACATGAACAAAGGGAGGGCGACCGTTGATGCAGTATGAGACGACGCTGGCGCGTACAGAAAGCATGCGGGCTGAGTCTACGGGGCTGGTCCAAATAGGGTGAAGTATTGCGATGTCACTGGAAGAATCGGGGACTTGGAATTGAGAGATGTCAAATACC